CAGCGCTGGGGTTACAAGCACACAAGCCTTTTAATCTTGGTGCTGTGGATTCAGACTCAGGCCTTCAGGTCCTGACGCTTTCAGCGCAAGCTGTCTTACCCGCTGGGCCTTCTCTCCAGCTCCCCTTGCTTCCCCACATGCGGCGTTGCCAGGCACTGCGTTGTTCAATGTTTTCACTCCCTGAGCTGTCGTCAAGAGGACCAGGTTGTAAGTCTTCTTCCATAGCTTGCGTGTATTTCTCCTTCTGCTGCTGCTGGGTACAGCTGGAGCTCACCCATTGCACAGTACCGTAGGCTGGTGTGGTAACGCGCTGAGACTTTTTCCTCTTACCGAGAAGGGAGGTTTCCGTTATTTACGGTTTGGGGCTGTTATAAACAATGGTTGTTCATGCCTCTGGCTGCGTGTAAGAGTTAGAATCTGTCTAGATGTGAAACGGCTGGGTCCTATGACGTGCACGTCTTTAGTTGTACCAGATGAGGCCAAGCTGCCGCTAGTGGCTGTAGCAGCTAACGCTGGCCAGCAGCACACAAGACTTTTCCTTGTTCGAGCTGCTGCCCTTGCTTGCTTGTGTGCACGGGGTAGTTGTGGGTCTGCATCTCTTTTTTGCATTGTCCTTGTTACTAAGGAGATTGAGCATCTTCTCACGCTTGTTTTTTATTTTAATTTTGCATGTTTGAAATCCCTGTTTTGACCTTTCTCTAATTTAAAAAATGATTAATTTTTTATTTTATTTATTATTTTATTTTTTGTTTTATGTGTATGAGTCTTGCCTGCATATGTGTATGTGCATCATGTATGTGCATGGTGCTGGAGGAGGTCAGAAGAGGGTGTCAGAGTCTCTGGAACTGGAGTCACAGAGGGTCATGAGTCACCATGTGGGTTCTGGGAGCAGAAACTGGGTCCTCTACAAAAGCAGTAAGCAATCCTAACTGCTAAGCCCTCTTTACAGTCCCTCATTTTTACGATTTACTTTTTAAAAAAAATTGACAAGCCAGATTGACCTTTATCTCATGATCTTCCTGTTTCAGCCTCCTCAATGCTGGGACGACAGGAGTGTACTCCCAAGCCTGGCTTTCCTTTTTGAGTGTGTGTATGTGTGTGTGTGTGTGTGTGTGTATGTGTGTGTGTGTGTGTGTGTGTGTGTGTAAGCTAGTGTTCTCAGGGGTATTGTGGAGCATGTGTGGAGATCAGAGCACAGCCTTGGCTGCCAGTCTTCACTCTCCACCTGGAGATAAGTTCTCACGGCCACTGTGTGAGCCAGCTTAGCAGGTTCAAGAACTTCCGGGGACTCTCTTGTCTCTGGCCCGCCATCTTGCCATAGACAATTGCCAGGAATTACAGATGTGGAAGCTTTGGTGTCCGGTTTTACATAGGTTCTGGAAACCAGCACTCAGGTCATCAGCCGTTAGTGACAGACACTTTACCCACCCAGCCTCCTCAGCCTCTCTCCATGGTACAAATTAAGCGTGTCTAGTTTTTGTGCTGTGGATCTGCAGCCTCTCTTTGCAGAGTCTAAACATCGGCTCCTTGCTGCTGTATCACAGTTATCTCCCAGCCTCTGGCTTGTGTCCTTATCTGCTATGGAATAGTTTTGTTGGATACAAGTTCTTTATTTTAGCGATATTAACCTCAATCTTTTCCTTTCACTTTCAGCATCTTAAGAGTTTTTCTTCTAAAAACTAGCTTCTAAAGGTAACTTCAGGATTTTCTTCCCTAAGCTTCACAATGTCAAATGTCTGTCTTAGGATTGTCCTGTCTGATGGGTTCCTGAAGTCTTTACATGTCTTTCCTGGGTGTTAGGAATCCTAGATTATTTTCATTCCAGTGGGCCTTCTCCCTGTGCCCAAAGGTTTTGGAGCTTTGATGGTACCTTGGCCAGGTATCCTGGGCTCTACAACGCCATCTGGCCCCTAGGGGGCGCCTTTGCACCACATGTGAGCTCTCTGCGGCGGGGCATCCAGGTTCTTCTGTGCCCAGCTCTTGATGTTCAGGAGATCTCTGCTTCCGAGCACATCTTAGTACAAAGAGACTGGAGCATGCATGGAGTTTATGACTTCACACACTAAGCAAATGCCATATTTCTGAAGGTTAGAGTGATATTAGGTCTTGCCCTGTGCTTTGTGCTGTGGGAAGCTGTGTAGGTTAGTCCAGGGGGTCAATAAGACATTTCTGCAAAGGGCCAGAGAGTATGTCAGGCTTTCCAGGCCACTCACACCCCGGTTGTAGATTGCTCTTTGTTTACATAACTTGAAAAAAAAAAAGCCAAGTCAGATGTGGTGGTTGGATGCCTATAATTCCAGCATTTGGAAGGTAGAGACAGAGGACCCAGACTGCCTTCACCTAGCTAGAGCTGCCTCAGGGAGCTCCTGGAATTACAAGTATACCTAAAGACCAGTGAGGGAGGCTTCCAGCAGACAGCAATTCCCAAGGCACATTCTGAAACCTGAATAGCTCAAGCCAGAGCCGTGGGGACAGGAAGGGTGGGTTACAGAAGAATGAGGATACATCCAGCCCCATAGATGGGACATTGAGACTCAGAAGGAGAAAGACCCTTTCCAAGGTCACACAGTGAGTTAGTACAAGCAAGGATTTGAACTCAGGGCTCCAGAGTCCTATGCTCTGTGTAATCACCAGCCACAAGCCCCAGACCCCTGCTTTCTTTGCATTCTTGTTAAATTCTCTTTGGCTGCTCTTCCGAGACTGTCTCAGGCCTAGACAGTCACCGTGGTCCAGGTTGAAGTTCACTGGAGGCAGCTGTTTCTTACCTCTTCTGTTTCATGGCTTCCTATATCTCTCCGACTAGATTCTGTTCTTCTTCAAATCCAGGAAGAGATCAAAACCTTGGTGAGGCCGGGCGGTGGTGGCGAACGCCTTTAATCCCAGCACTCGGGAGGCAGAGGCAGGCGGATCTCTGTGAGTTCGAGGCCAGCCTGGGCTACCAAGTGAGTTCCAGGAAAAGGCGCAAAGCTACACAGAGAAACCCTGTCTCAAAAAACCAAAAAAAAAAAAAAAAAAAAAAAAACCTTGGTGAGAACATTCTCTGAAAAATGACTTGACATTTCCCCCAGCAAGTTAAATGTGGAGTCGCCACCTGACCAAACAATATCAACATTTCAGATGAGCATGTATGTCCACATAAAAGCTTGCTCTTCTTCCTCATATCAGGGAAAAGGTGGGAACGGTTCAAATACCCATCAGCTCATGAATGAATAAGCTTCAAATACCCATCAGCTCATGAATGAATAAGCAGAAGGTCTACATCGGAACAATTACCCGGCAGCAGAGAAGAATGAAGTCCTGGTGCTTAGAATGTAGACGAATCTCAAAACCATTATACCAGCTGCAAGATGCTCATCACAGAGACCACACATCACATGATTCTGCTTATCTGAAATGTCCAGAGCAGGCAGATTCATAGGCAGGAGTAGATTAGTGGTTTCCAGAGGCTGGGGGGGGATGGGAGGTAATGGAAGGAGGGTTTCTTCATTGGTTGATGAAAATGTTCTGGGATTAGATAGTGATGATCACTGCATAACTGTAAATATACTAAAATACACTAAATTGTACACTCTGAAAAGGTGAGTTTTACGGTGGGTAAATTACATCTTTTAAAAAGGTGGTCTCTGATTAAAACCCAGGGTGGGGGGTGAGGCTGAAGGAAAGCTTCGGTGACTAGAGGGCTGCAGCGTGAAGGCAGCAAGCTTCCTGGGCCTGAGAAAGCTGTCTGGGCAGGTCTTCTACTCAGGGAAGCAGAATGGAGGAAAGGGGCCTGCCTTACAACTTCAACTAGCCAGGCACATGACTCAGTCTGTCAGACTTTCTACCGGCAACCTCAGTTTCCTCATCCATAAAATGGCACAACAGAGTTGCTCTTGCGGATGGTGGCATGGGCACAGAGAAGCATTCAGTTGCTTTTGACACCCAAGTCTCATTTCTTCCCTAATCCAGGGGCCACCCCCTCAATATTGGGGTGCTTATGTTCCCCCATATGGGTCATCAATCTTTCCTAATTGAGTGCTCTTCAAACAGCAGCATGCATGGGATCATTTCTTTCCTGGTTCTCAGATTCTGCACGTTTGATGTATAGACAAGCACAGAGTCTCTCACTGAACCTAGCGCTCACCAATTGGCTAGACTGAATAGCCAGAGACACCCCAGGATTCTCTTAGCTCTGTCTCCCAGTGCTGGGTCACAGGTGTGCATCTGCAGTGAGCTTGGTCATTACCTGGAAGTAACCTCACTCTTGCTTGGCATTTGATGGGGATTCTGGGGACCTGAACTCAGGTCCTCAGGTTTATGCAGCACACTCTTTTACAGATTGAGCCATCTCCCCAGGTCCCAGCCAAGACTTATTAAACTAGACTGTGCATCAGATCACTCCAGGGTGACATGAGATTCTGATTCATAGTCCTAAGCTGGAGTCTGAGAACCTGCATTTCCACAGAGAGGAGAGGCTTCTGCTCCTGACCCTGGAGATTCCTGAACACAGCAAGCACAGCTGAGCTGCTGGAAATGCAGAGACCTTTTGATACCATGCTAGGGATTGTAGGGTTAAAATAAGTATGGGCTTCATAACCAAAATATCTTGTGAAGTATGGCCTGAAATAATACCAATGAGCGCTATTTTGAATTTTTATTACACATATGTAATGTGTGTATGGATATCACATGTGAAGGGAACAATCTCCATCTACCATGCAGTTCTGGCTTGGTGGCAGGTGCCTTCATCCACTGAGCCATTTTCTCTGTCCAAAAATGACTTTAAAGCCCTTTTCCATAAGATTATCTATGGCCTTTTCTGAGGGCTCTGACATGACGTAAGAGATCTGATTTTGAATAAGAAAACTGAATTCAATTAGAAGCATGGTTATTGTTTCTAATATTTCTCTAATTGACTTAGACTAAGTCTAAGGAGTGGCAATGTAGCCAAAGATCGTCTTTGTTTCTCATTTGGAAGCCCATTCCTGCCTGATATCAGATGATTATGACATCACTCTTATGACATCAGAGGATTCTGTGCAGCCTCAGACCCTCCTTCTGGTCCTCGGTAGGTAGAGAAAGCAGCTTTTTGGATGAGGAGAGAGCTCCAGGAATTCGTACCCTCAGATGTACGAGATACAAAGCTGTGGATATTTCCACCCTGACTCTCATTGCCGCCGCCACCCCCCACCCCCATTCAGAATTTTAAAATGTCAGTCTTGCCTACCCCTAAGCAAGTGTGTTTGGGGTCCAAACAGCCATTTGCTATCTTCTCGCTCTTGTTATTTATTAGGAAACAGAAAGGGTGAAGGTCACCAGCCGTTAGTGCCTGGCTAGCCTCCCTTTCACACAGCATGTTGTGTCCTACGGAACTGAGGCCCTTGACCACTCTAGGCCTCTGCTGGGGAGGGGAGGATGGAAGAAACCCTCTTCAGAGTCTGTTTAGGTGTGAGTCTACCATGGTTTTTCGGCACTGGAGGTCTCACCCTAAGGAGGCTTATGAACACTGGTGTGTGGTGTGGCTGGGAGCTTTCAAAGGCTTCCAGGCATTCCAATGGGTAGCCTGGATTGCAAGTTGCTGCACCGAGGTTAAAGATTTAGAGAGGCCACCTTCTTCCCTGTTCCCACAGGTGAGTCCTCCTAGCCACTCAGCCCCATAGATGGAGGTTAGTCTCACCCTGAACTAAACAGCATATGAAGTCCAACTCTCCCAGAAGAAGCCAAATATGCCGGACATGGGCTGGAAAATGGGTTTGCCCCTTGGTTCCACCACTTGTTATTAGAAAGGTTGCTGCAATATGGAAGAAATTATGTATATGTCTATCATTTTCCACAAAGACAAACTCCAAATGGACTGAGGACCTCCAACGTGAAATCCGAAACTGCCAGATGAATTGGGGAGCCCCTGCAGGGTATAGATGTAGGAAGGACTTTCTGAATAGGACTCTTGCCCGGGAATTAAGGCCAACAATTGACAAGTGGGACCTCATAAAACTCAAAAGCTTTGGCACAGCTAAAGAAAATCAGACAGAGCGAGGCGGTGGTGGCGCTCACCTTTAATCCCAGAGTGTGCGGGAGGAAGAAGCAGTTGGATCTCTGAGTTCAAGGCCAGCCTGGGTCTACAGAGTGAGTTCCAAGACAGCTAGAGAAATCCTGTCTCAAAAAACAAAACAAGATAAAAAACAAAAGCAAACAAATAAGGTTCTGAGTTCAATTCCCAGCAACCACATGGTGGCTCACAACCATCTGTAATGAGAGCTGGCACCCTCTTCTGGCAGCAGGCGTACATGCAGACAGAACACTGTATTCATGATAAATAAAAAAATCTTTTTTTTTTTTTTTTTTTTGTTTTGTTTTGTTTTGTTTCTTGAGACAGGGTTTCTCTGTGTAGCTTTGTGCCTTTCCTGGAACTCACTTGGTAGCCCAGGCTGGCCTTGAACTCACAGAGATCTGCCTGGCTCTGCCTCCCGAGTGCTGGGATTAAAGGCGTGCGCCACCACCGCCCGGCAAATAAATAAATCTTTAAAAAAAAACAAACTGAAAAAACAAGGACTAAAACAAACAAAAGCACCAAGTAATTCTTTTAAAAAATGGGCCACAAATCTGAAGAGAGAGTTCTCCAAAGAAGAAACAGGAGGCTAAGAAACAGCTCAAAAGATGGTCCTTGTCCTTAGCGATTAGAGAAATGCAAATTAAAACAACTGAAATGTCATCCTACCCCAGCCGGAACGGCTAAGATCGACAAGACAACCGGGAGCCAGTGCTAGAGAGAATTTGGGGAGAGGAAATCCTCATCTCATGTTGGTGGTGTTGCAAATTGGTCCAGTCACTCTGAAATTCAGTGTGGAGAAGTCTCAAAAAAGCTAAATCTACCACGTGACCAGCTGTACTCCCCGCTGGCATCTGCCCAAAGGAGTCGGCGCTCTCCTCCACAGCTCAGCTCAGCTTTGCTCACTGTGACTCTAGTACATTAGTCAGGAAACGGGACAACTTCACGTCATTCAGCTGATGAAATGGTACATATGCACTCTGAGATACTATGCACTTGTAAAGGAAAACGAAACCATAAAATCTGCAGGTAAATGGACAGACAAGGGACTATTGCATTGAGTGAGGTGATCCAGACCCAGAAAGACAAATAATAAATGTTCTCTCTCCTCTATGGTTCCTAGCTCCAAATCTCTGATGTGTGTCCATCACCCGAGTAACTGCAGAAACCAGCACTGGACAGAGAAACAGATGGATACGAGTGATCTAGAAGGAGAAATGGGTAAAGCGTGGACCATGCTTTGTTTAGGGAGGGAAGAGGGAAGTCACTACAGAGGGAGAGGCAGGGAGAAGAGCAAAAGAACACTAAGGCTATCTGAAAAAACCATAAGGAATCCTATTATTTAATGCCTAGAATTACATACAATATAGTTAAGTCTACATGTATACATAAACATATGTAGTTTAAGTGATGTTATAGCACTTAGACTGACAATGTTCCCTGCAAGAATCATAGATTATCTAGCAAAAAATCCCAATACCAGGCATGAGAAAACCTGTTGCTTGGGGAAATCTCAGAGACCCCGCTCCCGAAATAGGATAGGCTACTGCTGTGCCCTTGGTTCCCTTCCAGACACAGAAGGTGAGTTCCTGAAGATGTCACGCATTTCAGACAGAAGACCCAGAGGACTGACCCATGCTGCATGCGACTTGAAAACTCCCTTCCCGCAACTAGCTTCTAAAGTACCAGAAAGTGCTATGCAAGCTTCCAACATCGGAAAGCATCCCGTAGTCGTACTTGGCTGTAATGCCTACGAACCATGACAACCAGCAAGGCTGGATAATGCTAAGAGTCTAACAGTGGCAGGAAAGCTTAGTGGTAACCAGCAGTTTTCTCACTGGACTCAAGACCCACTCAATAGGATGGAAAACAAGCCTCGTACTGTAAACCTAGCCAATTCCCTGAGGCTAGGGAGGTCCCAGATCTCAGAGGAGGGCATGCGACTACCACTTTACTGGACCAGTGTCATTCCTAACTGCATCCTAAATATTTATCCTAATATTCACAGGTAAGTGTAACTCTCACCCCACCATCAAAGAAAACTCTCTATGTAACAGACAGAGATCTTTACAGAAAATCACATCTGATCAAAAGAGCAGAGAACAAATGATTGTGGGGTATCTGCCCCGATTGATATATCTACAATTCAACCCCCTGCATCTAAGGCTCAGGGAACATCTCAGAAAAGGGTGGTAGGAAGAGCCAGAGGACCAGGAAATCTGCTCTGATATCGTGTCTGCTAGAAATGACAGAGATGCCACATCCACAATACCTCAGCAATACAGGGCTGCCTGAAAAAGACCTGAACAAGGATAACACCAACAGACACGCTAATGCAGAAGGGAAATAGCTCCTGGGTTCTCACCCCTAGACAAAGAACTACAGGCTTTTAATGAATGCGGAGAACGGGAGAATTAGTCTCTCCCAGGATGAGCCCCTAATTGGTTATTCAATACAAGTGGCCAGTTCTTAAATAATATCCATACAAGTAATATTAAATGGACTGAACAGGTTGTATTTCTGTATTTAGGCATTTGCGTGCATACACACACACACACACACACACACACACACACACACATATATAAAAATAAAAGAGGTCATGCTTTTGAGAGCGAGAATGATGCAGGGGGTTCATGGGTTTGGAGGAATGAAAGAGAAGGGGGAAATGACGTATTTTTAATAAAAATACATGAAAAGGAAACGCAGCTAACCGAGTGAGGCTGGACACGTGGCTGAGTGCCTTGTTGAAGAGGACACATTTACATGATGCTGAGCACCAGTGTCTCCTTCAGCTTCTCACTCCTGGCGTCTCTTTTGCCTCACAAGGTCCCCGTAGTCTGAGGGGACATAAGAAAGGGATGCAGAGCTGGAACTCAGCACAGTGCCTGGCGGACATCAAGGCCTCAATAAACTGGATTCCAGTCCATCTCTTAACTCTGCCAACCCCACTGAATTCACCACACCCGACCACATTAGATTTGACCTATTTCCATGTTTACCTCAAGATATCAAAATAGTATTTAACAATCAACGTGATTCCAATGATCCACTCAACTCCCAAGCCCACCCAGACCTGGCTGGTCCCTGACAGGTTTTGAAATTAACAGCATCATTCAGTTTTAACTCTTCATGGCCCTACTTGCAGGATACCTAGTTAAATTTGAATTTTAGACAGGCACTGAGCATAAAATTATTTTATATAAATATATCTCATGCTATGTTGAAATTTAAAACTGAAGTATTTTAAAATGAAAATTCAAATGTAAGAAAAATACATTTTATTTGGCAGCCTGGCTCTATAATCCAGTAGCTCAGGAGTAGGCTCTGTGAAAAAATGATTCCTTCCGCTGGGTGGGGGCAGCACACACCTTTAATCCCAGCACTTGGGAGGCGGAGGTAGGTGGATCTTTGGTCTACAGAGTGAGATCTAGGACAGCTAAGGCTGTTACACAGAGAAACCCTGTCTCAAAAAAAAAGAAAAAAGAAAAGAAAAGAAAAGTAAAAAGATTCTGTCCTTTGTGCTTGCTCAATACCTTGCATTTTCAATATTTAGCACATATCCAAAGTTCAATGTTTATAGTTTGCAGTACAGTATTTTATTTCACCTTTGAATCAAGACTTAGAAGTAAGTCAGTTTCACAGCCTTCTGTTGTTCCACATACATCTCTTCAAACCACCTTTTTCACGTGTATTTATGAGTGTGGAGGAAGAGGACAATTTGTGGGGGTTGGTCTCCTCCTATCATGTGGAGTCCAGGGATGAAGCTCGCCTTAAGCTTGGTGGAAAGTACCTTCTTGCTGAGCCACATCGCCAGCTCCTCATCCACCTCATTCTCCCTGTACATATTAGACCCTGATTTGTTCTTTAAAAAGAAAATTCTTGCCGGGCATGGTGGTGCACACCTTTAATCCCAGCACTTGGAGACAGAGTCAGGAGGATCTCTGAGTTCAAGGCCAGCCTGGTCTACAGAGGGAGTTCCAGGACAGCCAGGGCTACACAGAGAAACCATGTCTTGAGAAAAACAAAACAAAAAATCCCGTTTTGTTTTATGTTTCTGGAATGTGAGTTGCAGCCAGTTGTGGGGCTGTGAGTGCCCAGGAAGAAACGAACAGAGGCTTCCATTGACTTCCTGGGCCTTTGAGAGTCTCAGAAGGATGATGCAATGGGATGTGTCAGATTCCAATTTTTTTTTTAAATCCTTTTCTTATGACAAACACTATTCCAAGGAACTGCATATTCTTAAGGTTTCCACTTCTAATGCTTGTGCATTAAATTATAGAGTATGCAACAACATTCTACAGCAGAAATTCCCACACTGTATGTAACCAATAATTAACAGTAGATAAATTCTATATGTAGCTATTTTAATATAGGAATAATATGTATTTTCATTTCTATTAAATTATGAGCCCTGCCAAATTACAAAGTCTAAGCAGATTGCTAAGTCTATAGACGTCAACCCAAGTTCGATTTCTTTGCATTTTGGTGCTTCCCCCCAGCATCCAGGAACAGCAAGTATTTATCCGTGTTTTCGTTTTAAATCCTTTCCCACTGGACAGCTCCCGTCGGTGGCTGCTGCCATGCACCCGCATTCACTGGGCGTAGCGTATAACATCTTCCCTTCTGATTTTGTGCTTTTAGGAACAATAGCCATGTTTTAGAATACAGGTGGCTTTTGGTGGGGGTGGGGGCTTCAAGGCTTACCTTGAATGTTATTTGGATATTTCTAAAAGCTATTGCACTTCTTTCCCTTAGGAAATAGTTAGGATTGCTATTGCAGTGATGAAACACCATGATCCAAAGCAACTCAGGGAGAAAAGGGTTTGTGTGGTTTACACTTCCACATCACGGCTCATCACTGAAGTAATGCAGGGCAGGAACTCAAACAGGGCAGGAACCTGGAGGCAGGAGCTGATGCAGAGGCCACAGAGGGGTGCTGCTTACTGACTGCTCTCCATGGTTTGCTCAGGCTGCTTTTTTATAGAACCCAGGACCACCAGCCCAGAGGTAGTACTATCCACACACATGGGCTGGGCCCTCCCCATCAATCAACAATGAAGAAAATGTCCTCCAGGCTTGCCCACAGCCCAATCTTATGGAGCATTTTCTCTGTTGAGGTCCCCTTTAGTTTGTGTTAAGTTGACACAAAACTATCCATTGTAGCTGTCCAGACAGCCCAGTGGGGAGCTTGCTGCCAAGGCTGGCAACCCGAGTTTGATCTCTGGAACCCACAAGGAGGAAGGGAGAACTGAGTCCTGCAAGTTAGCCTTTACCTCCACATATGCATGGTAGCAATACCCTACACCCCCAAATAAATGTAATGAAGCATTTTAATTGAAAATATACCGAGAAGTTACACAGGGAACGGACGCTCAGATAGCTTCTTTATTGTCCTCCTTAGCTCTACCGTTTCCCAACATTCTCTGTGTACGTACCTATATATGTACGTAGGTAGATACACAAACATACAGGATTTCTTTTCTATCCAATCCCTTGAGTGGACTTTTCAGCCAAGGCCAAGGATATTCTTTCACACAACCGCAACTTGATGATCAAATCCAGTGAATTTGACAGTAATATAACAATACAGTTAAAATCAAATCACCGCTCACTCCAATAACATTCTTTAAATAATTTGTTTTGTTTTGTAATCTCGGGTCCAGTTCAAGACGGCACGCTTCCTTTTACTTTTCGAGCCTGTCTCTGTGTGGTTTTGCAGGCCTTCATCCAGGGCTTGTATATGCCCGGCATGTGCCCTGTCACTCACTAAGCCACGCCCAGCCCCTGCTTTTCACTGTTCTTTTTTTTTTGTTTTTTTTTTTCGAGACAGGGCTTCTCTGTGTAGCTTTGCACCTTTCCTGGAGCTCACTTGGTAGCCCAGGCTGGCCTCGAACTCACAGAGATCCGCCTGGCTCTGCCTCCCGAGTGCTGGGATTAAAGGCGTGCACCACCAACGCCCGGCTATGTTCTTTAAATCATTTGGAACATGCCTCATCCTCTCCTTGTCTTTACCAACGCCGACCATTTAGAAGTTTGCAGAGGCACTGTTGATGGCATGTCTCTTCTTTTGGATCTGACGGCTGCCACATCTAGTTTATGAATTTTTGGTAGAAATCCTGCAGGCATTACCACCATGGACATGTGACATTAGTTGTGCCAGTACTGAGGACCGTACCTTTGATTAGCTCCTCGAGGCTGTGTCTTCCAGGCTGGGCCGC